TTTTTTTTTTTTTTTTTTTTTTTTTTGTCCTTTTTGAGACCGGTCGCACTGTGCTCAGCCAGTGAGCACTGTGAGCACACTGGTCATCCCTATATAGGATCCGAACCCTCGGCGGGAGTGCTGCCGTGCTCCCAGTGCCGCACCCTCCCGAGTGCGCCATGGGCTCGGCCCCACGCAAGGCTTTTCTAACAGTCAATCAGCATTCTTTCCACCACTGTTCATCTCTACTCCCTGACTTATTGCTAGTAACTCAAATCTGCCCCCAATGTGCAGAAGGTAATGGCAAGAGGGACACAGAAAAGGAGCACCTAGGATATATATGTGTCTTTATTTATAAGCTTTCATAAAAATTAAAACACCATGGGAAAATGGTTAAATCAATTATGGCCTATCTATGTGACAGGAAATTATGAAGCCATTTAAAGTGATACTTTCACAGAATATTTACAATAAGATTAATATGATTTCTCATCAGAAACCATGGAGACCAGAAGGCATGGAATGACATATTCAAAGTGCTGAAAGAAAAAAGTGTCAATCAAGAATTCTATATCCAGCAAGACTATCCTTTGAAAATGAAGGCAAAATCAACACATTCCAGATAAACAAAAACTGAACTTGTTGCTAGCAGATCTGCCCTACAAGAAATCCTTCAGGCTGAAGTGGAAAAAAACTAGACAGTAACTTGAATTCACATGAAAAAATAAAGAACACTGGTAAAGGGTAACTACATAGATAAATATAAAAGACAATACTAATGTATTTTTGTGTGTGTGTGTGTAATTCTTTTTCTTATCTAATTTAAAATACCACTACATAAAACAGTAATTATAAATATATGTTGATGGGTACACAATGTATAAAGATATAATTTGTGATACTAACAGCATAAAGGAGTCAGTAATGGAGCCATAGGTGAACACATTTTTATATACTATTGAAATTAAGTTGTTATTAATCTGAACTAGATTGTTAAAAATTAATATGTTAATTTTAGTCACCAAGGCAACCACCACTAAGAAAATAACTCAAAAATATATAGTAAAAGAAACAAGAGAATTCAAAGAGTACACTAGAAAACATCTATTTAACACAAAAGCAGTAATGGAGGAATTGCGGAACAAAAAAAAGATAATAATGCATAGAAAATAAACAGCAAAATAGCAGAAATAAGCCCACCCTTATCAGTAATCACATTAAATGTAAATGTATTAAACTCTCCAATTAAAAAGCAGAGATTGACAGAATAAATATTTAATAATGGGTTAAATATAATATTAGTATAAAAAGTCTATAAACTAAATACAAAAAAATCCCAAATGAAGTCTTTTGAAAAAAAAAATTGCAAAGGAAAAAGAAAATTACATAGGAAAAACACCAGAAGGAAATACAATTATATGGAATGTTAATAGTGGTTATTTGTGAACTATGACTTTATGGCGATTTTAGTTTACATGTTTATACTGTCATGTATTTTCTAGTGTAGTACAATGATGGATATTATTTTTATCATTAGGCTGGCCAGTTAGCTAAGTTGGTTAGAGCATGGTGTTGGTAACACTAAGGTCAAGGGTTCAGTTTCCTGTACTGGCCAGCTGCCAAAAAAAAAAGAAAAATTTATTACTTACAAAAATGTTACTATTATATATATTGTGATGCATGCTGGTATCACAGACCTCATTCTACATGCCTAATGGCCCAAATTAAATCTATTTCCACATATAAATACATTTACTAGTTTTGTGCTGTTTTTCAATAGGAATATGTCTTCTTTGGTACTGATAATTGTAACAGTCCACAAGACTGAAATCTTTGAGATAGCAAATGAGAATTTAAATAAATATGCATACTCAGGGGTGATAGTCAAAATATTTAATACCTCATAGTGCATGGGTATGGTTCTCAGTGAAACCTGATGTTGACCATGGTACTGGAGCAGAGTCCTGAGGGCTCTCTACTGATGTAGGAATTTTCCCTTTAGTTGGTGGACCATGGGGAGGTCCTAGGACTAAGGTTAAGGGAAGCAAAGAGACAGTTAAAGGTCTCAGTGTAGCAGCTATTTACCAATCAGAATGGAAATATTTCAACATTTTAACAATCAGTATCACTGTACTGGTATGTAACAGCTGAACATCAGTGTTAGAGACACCCAAGAGTTGTAAAGCAGTAAGCTAACCATTTAAAATTATCACCTCTGATGTTTATGACTACCTTTAGAGCTTGCCCTAAAGAAAAGCCACACACACGAACTCCCCTATGGAGCCTCCAACTGTTACCTCTGCATGGGCAATCCTGTAGTGACAGCTCAGGGCCAGCTCTAGTCCCCCTCCTAAAGCCATGCCTTGAATAGCTGCCACCACAGGCTTCGCATTTCTTTGTATTTCATCTACTATAGATCCCAGTGCAAGGCCAGAGGTCCTAGGAATTCTGAAACTATGGATATCAGCACCTAAGGACACAAAGACAAGGAGAAAAGAGGGTTGAGAAAGACTTGGGTTTTGTTATTTAACAATTCGATACCTGATAACTCTTAAGAAATCTCAGACCTCTTTGGGCTCAGGAAACACTTCACCCTTTGGCTGTAGACACAATAAAGGAACAAGGAGCCTGGGAAATGTAGAACAATATGAGAGAAAATCTTCAAATGTTTACCAGAAATCCTGTAATCTTCTAAAATCTGTCTTTCCATATTGTAGGTAGCAACTCTATCTTTACAAAAATTAAAAATCTCAGAGGAAAGGAATAGGGATCGTCCTCCAAAGACCATTATTCTTTTTTTTTTTTTTATATCAAAGACCATTATTCTGAGACTGAGTCAGCCCCTCTCAATTTTTGAGTGATACTGCTTATCAATACTATTCATAGCAATTTAGCCCCATATCTTTCAAAGGGAATGAATCATTACAATATAAAACACCAAGGTAAATTGCATACATATTTGTGAGTTGTATGTTGGAATTATGTTTTGTGATAGATTTTTTCTATGATCAATAAAAGTAACAACGGGCCGGCCCGGTGGCGCACTGGATAGTGCACCGCTTGGGAAGCGCGGCAGCGCTCCCGCCCGAGGGTTCGGATCCCACATACGGACCGGTTCCCACTCACTGGCTGAGCGAGGCGCGGGAGCAACGCCGAGGGTTGCGATCCCGTTGCCGGTCCCCGGTCCGGTACGGGGGCAACACTGAGGGTTGCAATCCGTTGCCGGACACGGAAAAAGACAAAAGACAAAAAAAAATAAAAATAAAAAATAAAAATAAAAGTAACAACATTTATTGCTTTTCCTGATTATAAAAATAACATGCATTATGGAAAATTTGAAAAATGCACAAAATTATAAAGAACATAAAGATCACCCTAAATAGCACCACACAGAGATAACAATTTAATATTTTGGCAAGTTCTTAGTTTTTTCCCCATACATATATGTAAATGGCTTTGTGACCTTGAGTAAGTTATTTATCCTTTTTGTCTCAATACCCCTCTTAAATGGCTGATGGGAGAATTAAATGAAAGTTTAATATATATATATTTAACATTGAGAGTACACTGTAAAGTCTTTTTTTATATTTTCCTATTTTTACATAACATACATAGTGAGCTCTTTCCTATAGCATTGCCTTAAGCTTGATACAAATTTTTAAAAGTTAAATAATTACTTCATGTTCAGCCTATTCATCTTTTTTTCTTTCTGTTTTGCTATCTGCACCTCATCTAGCTTCAATCCAGGTGTTATGCTTTTTTCTCACTGACCCATCCTATTTCACTCTCTCATTCAGTGTTTTGTTTTGTTTTTTCCATTCCTTTTGGTTCTATAGAAACAAGATCAATTTCAATCTGAATCTCAGGCCTATAATTTCTGTAACTTTAGGAAATTGGGATGGTTTTTTCACGTGATAATAGAAATGAACATTTATTGGATAAATACATTAGGCACTGGGCCAAGTAGTTTCAGATATCGTTTTATTTAATTTTCATAGCACCTAGGTTAAGTAGTATAACAATCCCCATTTTACAGATAAGGAATTTAAGTCTTTGAGATGTTAAGTGACCAGTTCAGACATGACTAGTAACTGGCAGAATAAGGATTTGAACTCAGGCAGTTTGACTACAACACCCACATTCTTAAACACAATACTGTATTCTTTTACTTATAGCATAAGGTTAATATTATCATCCCAAGGCACAGACAAGGGTATAGTGATTTCACTTTTTAATTATTTCTGGCATATATAAATTAATTTTGGATATTGATTTCGTATCCAGAAATTGCTAAATTCTCTAATTCTAATAATTTTCTGATTTATTATTTTGATTTTTCTAAAAACATTACCATATCTTCTGAATAATAAAGTTTTGTTTCTTCCTTTTCAAGCCTTACACCTTTTATTTCTTTTTCTAGCCTTACTGGGCAGGCCAGGACCTTGAATACAAAAGTAGAAACGGTGAGACCAGTCAGCCTTCTCTTGTTCCTTTCCCATAAGGAAAGCTTCCAATCTACCACTTTGTTTGATATTTGCTGTAGGTTTTTCAAAACAGGTAGCTTTTGCCTGATTAAGACATTTCCTTTCTATGCCTAATTTACTAAGAAACGTTATCTTTAATGTATGTCAAATGTTATCAAATGCTTTTTCTGCATCTCTTGACATAATCATATGACTTTTCTCTCTAATCTTTCAATGGCATGAATTTCCAGTGTTCAACCAATCTAATATTTCTAGGATAAAAGTGATGAATTATACTTTTTAATATTGTTAGATTCAGTTTTATAATATACTATGATTTTTATATCTACATTTATGAATGAAATTGGCCTATAATTTTGATTTTTCATACTGTCCTAGTCAAGTGTTGGTAAAGTTATGCTAGCTTCATAAAATGAGATGGGAAGGGCACTGGGTTGAATAGTGTCTATCCAGAACCTGTGAACGTGACCTTATTTAGAAATAGGGTCATTGCAGATGTAATCAAGATGAGGTCATGATGGATTAAGGAGGGGGAAATTTGGACACAGACATAAAGGGGAGAAGGCCATGTGAAGACAGAGCAGAGATTGGAGTGATACATCTACAACCAAAGGTGACAGCAACCACAAGATGCTAGAAGAGGCAAGGAAAAATTCTTCTTTGAAGCCTTTGGAGGAAGAAGGGCCCTGCTGGTATTTTGACTGCAAACTTGTAGCCTTCAGAATTGTGAGAATAAATTTCTGTTTTCTTAAGCCACTCAGTTTGTGGCAATTTGTTACAGCAGCCCTAAGAAGAAGTGTTCCATCTTATTTTAGTTCTCTGAAACATTTGTGTAAAATTGCAATAATCTTTTCCTTGACTCTACAATAGAGTTTGCCAATGAAGTCATCTGAACCTGGAATTTACCTTGTGAGATTTTTGATTAATGACTGAATTTCTTAATGGCTATAGAACAATTTGTGTTTTCTATTTCTTCTCAAGTCAATTTTGGTTAGCCGTATTTTTCTATTTGTTCATAATATCTTTTTTAATGGCTAAAGCATCTGTAGTGACATCTTTTTATCATTTCTCATATGCACTGTTTGTGTCTCCTCTTTTTTTCTTGATCAATCTCTCCATAAGTTTGTCAATTTTATTAGTCTTTTCAAAGAACCAACTTTTTTCCCCTCATTTTTTTTTATTGTGATAAAACATACGTAACACAAGGATTGCCATTTTAAGCATTTTTAAACATACAATTGTCGCTCCCGCCGAGGGTTCAGATCCCATGTGGAGACCGGTTCCCGCTCACTGGCTGAGCGTAGTGTGGGTGCAACACCAAGGGTTGCGATCCCGTTACCGGTCAGTAAAAAAGACAAAAAGGAAAAAAAATAAATAACCAGATTCCAATCAGTTTTGCCTTGGAATTCTGAATATTCTGGGTTAAATCTCTGTTCTTTCGTATGCAGGGTGAAAAAAAATCTTAAAACAAACAACAAACTTTCACAAAGGCCATATTGTTAAGACCAGTAACTATGAGCTAAAACCTCAGTGAATAATGGAGATACTTGCCCTTGCACATGATAATTCCCTTTTATGTCTTCTTTCTTTCTTTTATTTATTTAATTTTAATTAAATACACGCTGTAATTATTACATACTTATGGGGTACAATCTGATGTTTTGATACATATATGTTGTATAATAATCAGGTTGGAGTAGTTAATGTGTCAACCACCTCATGCATTTATGAAAACTTAAACACATGCACAATGGGTAAAAATCACAGATACTTACTAAAGCTTTCACTAATTTGTTCAACAAATTATATATATATATCTACTGTGAATTAAGCACTGAGCTGATTAAATGAATCCACTTTTTAAAACATGTTATTTTCCTGAACTCTGCATTCAACTTTGACCACTTAGAATCAGCACTAAACAATTTTAAAATACGGTTATACATCTTCTACGCACATTGCATGGAGTTACCTAACGGATGTACACAATTTACCATGTAAGGCACACTAGGATGAGTGCTGAAATAAAGGTACAAAGAAAGTGATGCAGAAGTTCAAAGTGGGACAAAATAACTTTCAATTTGTCATATTGGCAAAAGGTAAGAAAAGTAAAGGTGAAAAGGTCTAGGAGATGTTGCAGGGGCTGCCAGTTACCTCAAATATCCATTCCTCCCCACCTACTTCAAAGTATTAAAACACCTGGTTTTTAGCTGGATACATCATTGCCCAAAATAAAGGCTACATTTTCCAGCCTGCTTTGTAGTAAGGTCTGCCTGAGGCACTAAGTTCTGACCAGTGAGATGGAAAAATATTTGATATATGCAACTTTAGGGAAAAGTCCTTCAAAAATTGAGTACGTTTTTCTCTTTTTCTTTCCTCCTCACTTCTGGCAGGAATGCGGATGTGATGGCTAGACTGGGAACAGCCATACTGGACCAAGAAGTGGAAGACCTGTACTGAGGACGGCAAAAGGTAGAATTGAGTCCCCTGATGATTGTGAAGCAGCCATACCATACCAGGACACAGTTGTAAGAGAAATTAACTTTTTTCTCATTTAATTCACTATTATTTTGAGTTTTCTGTCTCTGAAAACAAACCTAATCCTAACTAATTCAGGAGGTAAAGGCAATGTCAGGGAAAAATAGGGCCTATAGCAGATTTTGCTAAGTTTCAGTATATGAAGCAAACATCCACAGAAGAGATAGTTAAAGCCAGGTTTGAATGAGTCTACCAAAGGAAAAGAAGACAGCTCAGGGCAGGTCCTCTGGATATGTCTTCATTTCAGAAGTGGGAGAGGCTCAGCAGATTGATTCAGTACCAAGGGAGCCCCAAATCACAAAGATCAACAAAGGAGTATTTGCCAAGAAGCAATGGATTAATACTTGCCAAGGGGTGGTGAAAGAGTTAGGAAAAGTGGTGAGGAACTGCTTAAAGGAAAAATTTAACCAGATTCCGGGCCGGCCTGGTGGCGCACTGGAGAGTGCGCCCAAGGGAGCCCCAAATCACAAAGATCAACAAAGGAGTATTTGCCAAGAAGCAATGGATTAATATTTGCCAAGGGGTGGTGAAAGAGTTAGGAAAAGTGGTGAGGAACTGCTTAAAGGAAAAATTTAACCAGATTCCGGGCCGGCCCGGTGGCGCACTGGAGAGTGCGCCTGCTCCCGCCGAGGGTTCAGATCCCATGTGGAGACCGGTTCCCGCTCACTGGCTGAGCGTAGTGTGGGTGCAACACCAAGGGTTGCGATCCCGTTACCGGGCAGTAAAAAAGACAAAAAGGAAAAAAAAAAAAAACCAGATTCCAATCAGTTTTGCCTTGGAATTCTGAATATTCTGGGTTAAATCTCTGTTCTTTCGTATGCAGGGTGAAAAAAAATCTTAAAACAAACAACAAACTTTCACAAAGGCCATATTGTTAAGACCAGTAACTATGAGCTAAAACCTCAGTGAATAATGGAGATACTTGCCCTTGCACATGATAATTCCCTTTTATGTCTTCTTTCTTTCTTTTATTTATTTAATTTTAATTAAATACACGCTGTAATTATTACATACTTATGGGGTACAATCTGATGTTTTGATACATATATGTTGTATAATAATCAGGTTGGAGTAGTTAATGTGTCAACCACCTCATGCATTTATCATTTCTTCTTGGCAAAAACATTCAAAAGCGTCTCCTCTAGCCTATTATGTAATATACAAAACTTAATTGTTAACCATAGTCACCCTACTGCCTTTTACCTCTTAGCCTAGATGAAATCAAAACTTGCTGCCTTTGCCTGATTAATTAGAAACCAAATCTGACAATGAAAAACAGATTCTGAACCATTACATAATACTGAGTTCAAAGGGCAATAACATTTCCCTCTGGTAAATGATGGCTATGAAATTAGCCAAAGTTAGCTCAGTCAGTGCCATTAAAGAAAAGAGACTAGCTTTCCCCATTTCAACTAACCCTTCCTGTTTTATTTCTCATGTTCTTGTTAATTCTGCAAAAATCAAAAACAGGAAAATAAAGAAAAATAAAAATGGCTGTAACAGATGCATCTTTACTAAATTCAGGCTGACTGAGAGGGATTACAGCCTTGCAGCAACGTAAAAACCACAGTATTTAAGAAATTATTTTCTCCCCTTACTACTGTCAAGTGTGGAGAAATGGAGTCTGGAATGAAGACAGCATCTCATGAGTGCTGACCAAAACTCTTTAGCTTCTTTGACCAAAGAGAGTCTTTCTTTTTGACAGCATTTTTTTTTTTTTTTTTACTGTTAACCTAAGGTCATCAAATCACACAGAAAATGTGGCTTATGATCAGCATTTTTTCAAAGAAATAGAAGAGAGAATATACCAAACTACATAACACGTAAGGATAGATTTTGCTACACAAAACTTTGTTTTCAGTTTTCTATTTGTATGTGTGTGCCTTGAGTTGCTAAGTAAAACATGAGGTTTCTTACTATGTGGATTACAGCAACAAAAAGAGTGTGAAAGCCATTGTTCTGGAGGAGGCAGACCTAGTAATCAGGCATGTCCTGCACTTGTAAAGAGGATTGGAGTTCCTCTGACTGGAAGGAAATATGGTTGCCTAAACAAGCAATGAAGGATTTAAACTGTTTGGGCAGGAAAAAAATATTCAAGTAAGAATCTCTCAGTGAGCTAATAATAGATAACTTCCCACATAAAATTAGAAATAGGAAGGGAAAAAGGAAGGAAGGGAAGAAGGAAAGAAAAACATAACGAAAAAAATTGGGGAATCTGTTAATCTAGATGACCGTGCTGGGATTTATGCCCCTACCTAAAATAAAGTTCAGAAGACAGATGAGAACAGGGAGGTGAGTATTTATTCCCAAGTGGAGAAAATTCTAATCAAGCTGAAGTGAATCCTGAGCAGCTGAGTCTATTGGTAGGGGCTTGTAACCGGCCTTCTGACTAATGAGAATAATGATAGCTAACATATGTTAAACGCCAGTTTATAATCTCCAACTTATTTAAATCTCACAACAACTTTATGCGGTAGATACTAATAGAGAGCAGGTTAAATTCCAGAAACATTTAAAATAGTTATCAGAAAACATTGCTAGTTATGGGTGTTATATGATGAATTTTTTTCCCCTAAAGTCTTGATGGGCACAGTTTCCTCTTATGAGCAGAAGCTGCAGCGGAATCCTAATATCTAGTAATTCTAATGATTATACTGACAAGTCCAAAAGTGCTATGTAATCATATTACTTAAAACATTTTTCTCTGTGAAAACCAATATCACAGATATCTTGCTTTTTTTTTTTTTTTCTGGGAATGGCAAGTGGACATATCCTTGTGTGATTTTATTCCTGCAGTTTTTTGTCTTATTAAATGCAATAATTCATATTACAATCAGAACTATAATATTAATACTAATGATAAAACCCAATCTGATGACAGTAGGACAAAAAAAAAAAAAAAAAATCAGTTAAAATTAGCAGGTCTCCTCGTTTCAGTCTCTTTTGGCTCCAGAAACATGTGATAAGAATTTTGACCAAAAGTCTTTCTATCTATGCTGTATATATTATTCATAAATTATAATTTCCATTACTTCTACTCCCTGTGGATGGGTGGCTCTTTCCAAGGTTGATGTATAAACTGTACCTTTTTTCAAAGATATGGAAGAACCAAATCAAATTAACTTCATTAATTTTTTAAAAAGCTGTATTGACCTTATTTTTTAAAGTAATGCTCTAAGGGCATTCATTGCACGAAGAAGGTGCCCCACGGTGAAACAAAGGAAGATAAACTGCACAGTTTTTTCAGAAAATGCTATTTAATAGGCTTATTCTGACATGGACCTTCCAGGGAGGCACGAAGGCCCTGAGATTTAGAACAGGTCCGGAGAAACCATTTTGCATTTCTGGGCCAGTGCACAATTCTTCACTCACTGTGTTGGCATTCATGGGGACCTTGCTTTATTTTTAAAAAATCTTAAACCACTTTATTGTCCGATTCTTAAAGCTTTTAGCCAAACATTGTAAGGGCAGCCTGGACTCGAAGTTGGGGAGTGAAGTGGGATCAAGGTCCAACACTGTGCTAAGTCAAGACCTTTGGAATAGAAAGTCCACCCGGGAAGCCAAAGTTGCAAGCAAGCAGAACGGTTCAGCACGAAGCTGGCACCGAAAGATCCAGTTCAAATGCATCTTCCCCACATAGTAGCCATCTGTCTGTCTCTCAGCCTCAGATTCCTTGCCAGTAAAGGGGGGATGAGAGTTCTCTGCGAAGATTAATCAATCTAAACTAGGTGAAAAGGCCCTGGCACACACCAGTTGCTCAATTTGTCAGTGTCTTTCTCAGTTTAAACCAGTAGGGGGACTTCAAAACCTCCAGAGCCGGCGGGCAGGCAAGGCCCCTGCTGTCTCCGGCTGGAGGCGACCGAGCCTGGTACCTGATCGCGTTGACCGGTGGGTTTCGGAGGCGGATCATCGCCAGGCAATTTTGCAGCCGCGTATACTCGGCCATGATTCCTCTGTCTCCGAGGTCGCCTCTCCCTCCACCGCAGGGCGAAGCCACTTTTCTGGGCACGACTGGCCGGCCCCGGGAGGAGGGGCGCCCGCTGGGCCAATGCGGCCCGGGCGCCGCCTCCGGCCACCTCCCACCGCCGGCTGTGCCCCGACACCCGACGCCCATCATCCCACCCAGCCCTGCGCTTTCCCGGTACACTCCCCACCGCCTCCCTCTGCAGCCACCTACTAACGTTTGTTGTCTCTTTCTCTTTATTGGCTCCCATCCTGCATCCACCACAAAATATACGAGCAGACAATAGAAAACGGGTGGAATTGCTGGCAAGCAGAGGTTTGCAACCCCCGACCCTGAACAGGGGTAGATATCTGGGGCCCTGACAATTATGCGATATGGTACACATCCGGAACTCATAAAATACACACACCGTGCATACTAACATCAACCAAATATTTACGTAACAATCATCTTAGGTGTCTTACAATCACACGGCAACCTAGTGAAACCTATGATTTTTTTCTTATCCACCCAATAGTTGTCTTTTTTTCTTTTTCTGCCATTCCTAAGGATTGTGATTTCTAATACTTCATCCATGAATTGGGCACCAATTATGTGCTAGACCTAGGCTGGAGACTAAAGATAAACAAAGCCCAGCCCCTTCCCTCCAAAAGTTCAGGCTTGGACAAGGATTTTCTAAATGTAATTGGCCTCTCGTGGTCCCCACAGTCCATCAAGTGGTCAGAAAGTAAGTCTGGAAGTTTCTGAGGAAAAAAACGATAAAATAATTTTGCTCACTGGTATTTCACAAATTTTTAACGATGATTAAGGATTAGTTTCATAGATTTTTTTTTACCTCTTGAAGATAAAAACAGGTTCTTACTATGTACTAGAAAAGTACTGATTGCCATGAAGCTGTTACCCGACTCAGGTCCGGCTGCCCGCCCCCTTGAAAAGGAAAGAAAAAAACTCGGAAGTCAAACACTGGTGTTAGAAAAGCAGATGTATTCAGCTGAAGGAGATGGTAGACTATCCCATTTCAAAGATTTACATTTACTGAGGGGTTTTTAAAGGAAGGGTTGAGGGAATGGAATGTGGGAAGTGAAAAGCAGGAGAGCAGGAGATGTGAGTTATGAGGGGTCCATGTCTATGGGTCAGATACAAGGTTTCTGTTCTCATCTTCGCTGTTATCTCAGGACCCTGCAAGATTTTGATTTGCACCAGTGTACTTGGCTGGTGCCCGAGGTCAGCTTCAGTCATTTGGCCCTGATCATTTCTCAAAACTCTACAAGTCTCAAAAAAAGAACTGTTAGTTTTGCAAAGTACTAATTAGTTTCTCAGCCTTGTTTTCCTACTTAGTGAGTGAGATAAGAAAGTCAGGGGATGGGAAGAAAGAGTGGAGGGAAAAAAACTGTCCTTTTTAAAATCCTGCCCTGCTCCGCAGCCCAGGCAGCTTTAGGTCCCAACATGGCTTCAGTCCTGCTCACTCCAACAAAGCCTTGGTAACAAGTAGCAGTCAGACCTCAGTAGGGACCACTGCCCCAATGATCAGAGCCGGCCTCCCAATGATAGTCACAAACAGTCCAAAGCACATGTCTCTGAGTGCCAACAGTCAACAACAATCCTCATCAGAGCAACCAGCTTCTTACAGGTGATATCAATCTCTAATACCTCTTTAAATTTGCTAATCATTGAACTCTGCCTTGCCCAAAAACTCTATGTAAGACCAATAGTCTATTCTGCTTGGAGAGACTGTGCATAATCAGCATAGTTCTCCCTTACTGTAGTAATCAATAAATTCAGCTTTGTCTTCTTACTTTATTGGTCTCTGGGGGAACAACTCTTCCAGGCATCCTGGCAACTTCGAATATCTCCGTAATGAGTAGGCATGGTTTAATAGCTCTGAATGACCTGAAATTCCTCTCAGAGCCAGTGGAGATAATAAGCACAAGGTGGAGCCCTTTTAAGGCAGTTTCTCCTCTCTATCTTGCAGGAGTCAGTGACAGGCCATTTCTCCATTATCACTCTGCATGGAAAATGGTAGTTCATGGCAGGGAATGATCTCTTTGAGCTAAGCCTTAGTTACCTATGATGTCCTGCAGGGGAAAGCTTCTACCAATCCAGTAAAAAATATCCACAAAAACTAATAAGTACCTATAATTTCCTGTGGCCTTCGCCATAACAGTAAAATCTACTTGCCAGTCCTCTGTACTCCCTTTACCTTTGGAGGTGGTCCAATCTTTGGGTTGTTTCTTGCATAAGTTAAGCAGTTCTGGACAACATTTTGAATAGTTTTTTGCAAATGTGGGCCAATAACAAACTTTTGCAGCCCAATGATAGGTCACATCCCTTCTATGATGGGTACCCTAGTGTAGGTGAGTAATTATATACTCCCTTAGGCGTTTAGTAATAAGTATTATCCCCTCCTCATTATATATCCAACCCCCTTTATTTGTATTGTATTGTTTTTCATCCACATTCAGGGAGCCCATATGGAATCCCCAATCATTGGCTCTTTCTAGGTCCATTTCTAAGTACTTAAGCTGGAATAAGGATATATCCATGCTTGGTATGAAGTCTAGCCCTTTCACATCTGACTCCTTTGTTTTTGCTACTTGCTTGTAGCCTAATTGGCCAGGTTATTTCCTTTGGCTATATGACTATCTGCCTTTTGGCATCCTGGGCAATAAAAGCTACTTCTTGTGGCAGCATAACAGAATCTAATAAGTCCAATATTTCCTTAGCATGTTTAATTTTCTTTTTCCCATAAGTTAATAGACTGCTCTCTTTCCATATGACCCTATGTGCATGTACTGCAGAAAAGGCATATCTAGAATCAGTATTAATGGTTACTTTTTTCTTTTATCAAAGTAGAATGGCTCATGTGAGAGTGATGAGCTCTGCTTTTTGGGTGAATGTACCTGGTGGGAGAGCCTCAGTTTCCAGGACCTCCTGAAAAGTTACTACTGCATATCCAGCTTTTCAAAGTCCTTTGTCCATGAAACTACTCCCATCCAAAAACACTTCTGTCTGGACTCTCTTAATGGCTGATCAGTTAAGTCAGGTCTACTGGAATAAACGTGGTTAGGCTCATCTACGGTACTTGGGAGTAAGGTGGCTGCGTTTAGAATGGATACTGCCTTCAGTTTTACATTTGGGTTATCCAACAGTATGGCCTACTGTTTGCCCGATCTTCCAAGTTGAGCGAATATCCTCCCTTTAGCTTGAGGAGGGGCAATTCACAGTGTGGCATATGCACCATAGTTGGATTGGCCCAACTTAAACATTTAGTCTCTTGCAAAAGGTCAAAGGTTGCAGCCACCACTTGGAGGCAAACTGGCTATCCTTGCATTACTATGTCCAGTTGTTTTGAGAAATAGGCAACAGGACATCTGGTATTGCCTAGATTCTGTGTCAGCACCCCAAAACATATATCTTGATGCTTATGCACGAAAAGGCAAAGGGCTTTCTTAAGTGCTAGAGAAGTTAAGATCTTTTCCTTAATAGTACTGAAGGCTCTATGGCATTCCACATTTCATCTTAATGGTTCATGATCACCACCTTTGAAAGCCTTGTAAATAGGTTTAGCCATAAGCCCCAAATTGGGAATCCAGATGTGGGAGAACCTGGCCATTCCCAGGAACCCTTGTAGTTGTCTTTTGGTGGTAGGTACAGCCACCCTAGCTAGGGCCTCCCTTCAATCTGGTAACAAGGTTCTCTGTTCATTAGATAGCTCAAATCCCAAATACTTTATTTTTTACTGGGTAATTTGTGCCTCTTTCTTAGAAACATCATATCCCCTGTCTGCCAGGAAATTTAAAGTTAGGGTAGCATTTTTGTCAGAAGCTTCCTTAGTCTTGCTGGCTATCAAAATGTCATCCACAAACTGAAGTGGAGTCTCTCATCCAGCTGAAATTCTCTTAGAACTCTGGCTAGAGCTTCTGTGAAAACGGTAGGAGTATTTTTAAGTCCCTATAGCGGCATAGTCCAACAATATTGCTGTTTCATATTAGTCTCTGGATCTTCTCATTCAAAAGTGAACAGTTCTTGGAACTCAGGATTCAGAGTAATGCAATAGAAGGCATCTTTCACGTCTAAATCTGTGAACCAACAAAAATCTTCAGATGGGGTGGTGAGTAAGGATTTGTCACAATGTGATTAATGGCCCCCAAGTCCTGAGCAAAATATTAGTCTTTGGTCCCTGGTTTTTGCACTGGCAAGATAGAAGTACGGGGACTGGCAAGGCTATATAAGTTGGTACTCAAGAAAGGCAGTTATTAAAGGCTTTTACCTTCTCTGACCTGTCTCTTCAGAGGGTATTATTTTATGTTTGGGAAATTCATGCCCAGTTAGAGCTTTACCTTTGCTAGAGTTGCTGTTCTAGTTCACTCTGGCCTTCTGTCAGCCTACAGATCTAACCTTCCTTCTTGTAGAATCTTCTCAGGTATTTCTGGTAATAGTGCAGCTTGATGAACACAGGCTTGGTCAGGTGGTACCTTAACATTCCATACTCCCTGGTATAAAAATCACTTGTGCATTTAGTTTGGTTAGCAAATCATTGCCCAAAATATTGGACTTTGATGCATGTACAAGAAGCTATGTTTCAAACAGGTCTTTTCTAGGTGGCACACAAGGGTAAGAGAAAAGGCCCATGAGAAAATTCTCTGAAGACACTCATGACTGTAGTGGTTTTAGGGGAGAGGGGACCTTCTCTTGTGTTTAAGACCAACTGTGTGGCTCCAGTATCAATAAGAAAGTCTACAAGTCTTTTTCCCATAGTTATTATTACCCAGGGTTCCTTGTGGGAGATTTTTGTTGGTTTGAATTTTATTATTATTATTTTTACATTCTACAATGCTGTTGTAGAGCAGTTGGGAGGGAGGAGGAGAGGGGAAAAGGGAATGGAATGGGATAGAAGAAGGAGGGAAGAGGAGGGGTGGGATTGAGGCCTGTGGCATCCCCCGCATTCCCACAGGGGAGACCCATGGGCTTCTAGTGGTGGC